AAAATCTTTATAAAAAAATTAGCCTGGTGCTCACTTTGGCAGCACATGTACTAAAATTGGAACGGTATAGAGATTAGCTTGGTCCCTGTGCAAGGATGACATGAAAATTCACCAAGTGTTCCATTAACCTGGGTGGGCACTGGCATCCTCATATTGGGCTTGGAGAAGTCGTCCCAGAGACCCACTCTGGGCATGCACCCAGGCTTTGCCCACCTGATCTTAAAAAAAAAAAAAAAAAAGTTAGCCTGGGATAGATTCTGTGTTTATCCTTTGGCTGTCCCATCACACATTGCTGGTGTTGTCAGCAATCCTTAATTTGCAGCTACTGTGTAATTCCCATCTTTGCTTCCATCATCACATGGTGTTCTTCCTCTGACTTCACTCTATCCTAAAAGGGCACCAGTCATATTGGACCAGGGGCCCACCCTGCTCCATATGACTTTATCTTCACTGGTTACATCTGTAAAGTCCCTATTTCCAAATAAGGCCACATTCTGTAGTGAGAAGTTAGAACTTCAACATATCTTTTTGGAGGACCCAATTCAACCCAGAATGAATCTAATATGTACCTAATATTTACACCCCAACAGGCCAGGAGAAGGAACCTGCTTGAGCATACTCTCTGACCTCTAGCCTCACTAGCTGCTCTTTCACCCCTTGCCTTCCCCGGGGCTAGGCACTGTGGGCCTAGGCCCAGCCCTGGATGTTCTTCTTGTGGCCTCCCAGCCTCGATGATCACATCCAAATCACTACAATCTACGTGATGTGCTAATGACAACAAATCTGTGTTTCTAGTGAGGACTTCCTCCCTGGCCTATAAACTCAGTGCAAACATCACACTTGGCATCTCCAGTTGGCTAACCCACAGGTGTCTTGACACCTTCAAAACAGTAAGTTGAACATTCAACCACTGAGCCACACTAGCCGGGCTCCAAGTCTTGATTTTTGGTGCACCCTTTGCTCCCACCTTATTCCCCTAGCACAGCGGTCGGCAAACTCGTTAGTCCACAGAGCCAAATATCAACAGCACAACGACTGAAATTTCTTTTGAGAGCCAAATGTTTTACACTTAAACTTCTTCTAATGCCACTTCTTCAACATAGACTCTCCCAGGCCGTGGTATTTCGTGGAAGAGCCACACTCAAGGGGCCAAAGAGCCGCATGTGACTCACGAGTTGCAGTTTGCCAACCACGGCCCTAGACCTTCCCATAACAAATCTCTTCTGTCATCATGGTCTTCGATCAATTGTTAACTCTTCAGAGAGGCATTCTTTGAAAATTGCATCCAATCCCACCCAAGTTACTATAATATTGTTCATTTATTTGTGTATTGCTTTGTCTTTCCCCTTTAGAACATATTTATTGAAAGACTGAATCACAACCAAAGGAAAAAATTAGAACCATGACAGCTCCCAGAATCTGGCTATCAGATCAGCAAAGAGGAAAAGGCCTTTTTTCTTCCTAGCGCTCTGTATATAACCCGATGCTACATGTATGTGGTTGCCAACTGGTTGTCTCTCACTGACTACAATGACAGCTCATGAGGGCAGGAACTTGGTTTGTTCATGGCTGTATCCTCAGCATGTATACTAGTAAGAGCTGGGCATTCAAAAAACATTTACTGAATAAAATGACAATATCTAGGGGCACTGAAGGAAGGAGTATGCTGAGACTATAATTTCTGTAGGAAATTCTGTAGACAATACATGTCAAGAGCCCTCAAAGGAGGACATGCCTTTTTGACTCAGCAATCTTACATCCAAGAGGCTCTTCTCCTGCACAAAGAAATGATTATTTATGAGGGAATTCCTCGCTGGGACGTTTATAATAGAGAACATTTAGAAACAACCAGCATGATACCATGAATAGATTATAAATATAATTATAAATCTGCACAATAAAATACATTAAAAATATTGATAAAGACATGTATTTATTGATGTGGAAAGAGATAAAAATACATTAATAGAAAAAGGCAAGCTACAAAAAACACACACACATCTATAGCAAGACTTCATTTTTGCATAAACATGTATCGGGGGATACACGTTTTGTACAAGTATACATGCACATTTACAGATCCAAGTTCGGACAGACAAACATCAAAATATTAACATTAAAAAAACATGTTTATATTCATTAGCTGGGGATAGTGAGATTAAGGGCAATATAAATTTTCTTCTTTATGTACATTTCTAAATATTTTTGTAATAGGTCAACCAAAAATTAACCGACTATCTGTACGTGTTCTGCGTGGGAAAGAAAACGCAATCAAGCTTATTAAAAACACAAACACACTTCATCAACTTCACCACAGCCCAGGTGAAGATATTAACTACAGCCGAAACTGGTTTGGCTCAGTGGATAGAGCGTCAGCCTGCAAACTGAAAGGTCCCAGGTTCGATTCCGGTCAAGGGCATGTACCTTGGTTGCGGGCACATTCCCAGTAGGAGGTGTGCAGGAGGCAGCTGATCGATGTTTCTCTCTCATCGATGTTTTTCTAACTCTCTATCCCTCTCCCTTCCTCTCTGTGAAAAATCAATAAAATATATTTTAAAAAAATATTAACGACAGTATCGGAGACAGCTTTCTCATTTCCTGGATTCAAGCAGGTTGCTTCCCCTCAGTCAATACTGTAAAAAAGAAAACAACTGTAAAACTTGATCCTTTCATTTCATTCCTGCCAAGTGTGAGAAGGTCGGGACTGGCTGAGAAACAGCACGGAGTGTAACAAAAGTTCTCATGTATGCTGGGCATTTGCCTTGCATGGCCTCATTACAAATCTCCTAAGGCGGTGGTCGGCAAACTCATCAGTCCACAGAGCCAAATATCAACAGGACAACAACTGAAATTCATTTGGAGAGCCACATTTTTTACACTTAAACTTCTCCTAACGCCACTTCTTCAAAACAGACTCGCCCAGGCCGTGGTATTTTGTGGAAGAGTCACACTCAAGGGGCCAAAGAGCCGCATGTGGCTCGCGAGCCGCAGTTTGCCGACCACTGTTCTAAGGGTTCTACTGGGTAGGTATTATGTTCCCAAAAGCTGCAAGAGGTGGAAGAACCGGCCCAGCTCACAGGTCTCTGCCCTCAGGGCCTGCGGGAGGAGGGCGATGAGGCGGCTGGAGGCTTTAAAACCTTGCAAGTCTCCCGAAGCCTCTGATCTCCTACTGTCCTTATCTAGTTGGCAAGAGAGAGAAAAGCAGAAAAGCCTGGAGTTTTTAGAAAGCTGAAGTAAAAAGTATCTAGAGAAGTTCCAGAAGTAAAACTCTCTGGAACTTGACCTTCTCTTCAACTCAGAAGGCTCGACAGCAAAATGCCTGGGTGGGTGGTCACGGGATGGGGAGCAGTTAGAGTGAGAGTGTGTGTGTGTGTGTGTGTGTGTGTGTGTGTGTGTGTAGTCACAACCGACACCACAGACTGGGCTAACATGCCATCTGTGTGTTGGCAGAAGGAAGCTGGGCTAGGAGGAGGGAAGAGGGCTCGCACCTGGGATGAAAGGAAGCGGGTAGGAAGAACCACATTCAAGGGGACAGAGAGAAGGGGCAGAGGGAAGAGGAAGAACCAGGAGGAGAGGTAGCTGGGTTACTCTGCGGTGTTTTTTGCCTCCCACCTTTCCCTCTGTCACTCTTAGGCCTCTGGTGCTGTCGATAGCCATGCCTACAAACCCTCCCTCCGCCTGCTCTCCGGACCATCCATTCCTCAGGGCGGCCACCCTCACGTACTTTCCCCGTGGGCACTTACATCCTGAAGGTCCACACCAAGCCTGCTCCCACTCTTGAACTCACGCTCCCTTTCCTTCGATCATTATTTCACCCCAAAAACATACTTATTGTGACCCTACTGTGTCCCCCTCACTGCCTGGCGCTAGGTACATCCCCCCGCCTACCAAGCTGGCCCACGTCTCCCCTGAAAACCTCTCTGTGCCCGTCTCATCTCAAGTCCCTACTGAGAGGCACGGAGAACCCTCCAGCTGGAACCGGGGCCACAGAGCGCGGGGTGTCCATCGTTCCGCGGGCACCCGGTCTCCGGGGCCAGCCCCGGGCTCCGGTGGGGGCGGCACCGAGCTGGCGGGAGGGGAGGGCGGAGCGGGGCTGGATTTGCCTGCAGGGGCATTTGCCCGTGAAGAAAGGTGGTCTCCTTCCCCGGCCCACGGGAGATCTAGAAAGTCTTTTCCTGCGGGGGGAGTGGCCCTGGGGCTGGGGGGGCCCGGGGGGTCAGCCTGCCCGCCCCCGCCCCGGCACTCACTGCCACCTGTTGAAGGAATGCGCCCCCTCCTGCGAGAGGGGACCGCGGCGCCCACGGACGCCGATCTCTGTGGCGTCCCCGCGCCTGGCCCCTAGCATTGGGGGCCAACCAGTATCTGTGGAGGGTTCTGGAAAAGCAGGGGCCGTCGCTGTCTCACTCTCCATCTCGGGAAGAAGGACAAAGACTGAGGCCGAGTGCGGGGGGGGGCACAGTGTACGATGCCCCCCTCGGTCCTTCGGGGACCCGGGGGGGGGGGGGGCTCGCTCAGCGGGCAGGTCGCCCGCCTGCAGGGCTCCACCCCGGGCCCCGCCGCGGCTGCCAGGCCTGGAGCGGCGCCACCATCTGCCAGGCCCGCAGCCCGCCCGCCCGCCCGCCCGCCGGCTCCCGTTACCTCCCGCACAGCCGCACCTCCGCCCGCCCACGGCCACCCCCGAGCCCCGGCCCCCGGCCCCCGGCCCCGGCCCCCGCCCCGCCCGCCCCGCCGAGGCTGGGAAGCCCGGCCCGGCCCGAGCGCCGCCGGCCGCGGCCGTCGCCCATGTGCTCGGCCGCCCCTCGCAGCCCCGCCGCTCGGGCTCGAACTCGCGCCGGGAGGCCAGGCCGCCCCCGTGCGGCCCGTCGCGCCCCGCGGGCCGGAGGCGGCGAGGCGGGAAGCCCTGCAGCCGCGCGGCGCCACCCGGCGGGCGGCGGGCGCGGGGCCGCGGGCGGTCGGATCGGAGCGGAGGCGGCGCCGCGGCCGCGGGCGCGCTCACTCACCACGGTCCGGCGGGGCAGGGCGCCCGGGGTCCGGGACAGGGCCCGGCGGAGCCTCCGCGCCCGGCCCGAGCGGGCGCCCTCCGAGCTCTCGGAGCCGCTGTCGTCCGAGATCACGATGAAGTCCTCCATGGCTGCGGGCCCGGGCCGGCCGGCGCGCGGGCGGCGGGGACCGGGCGGCGGCGGCGGCGGGGACTGGGGCTCCTGCTGCTGCTGAGGAGACGGCAGCCGGGGCGGCGACGACCCAGGCCATCACCCGAGGCCCCGCCCCTTCCGCCCAGGCCCCGCCCCTCCCGCCCCTAACCACGCCCCTCGCCGCGTAGCCCGCCCCTAACCACGCCCCCCGGCACGTAGCCCGCCCCCGGCCCCGCCCCTCCTGGGCCCCGTGCCCCAGGCCGCTGGCGGCGAGCAGGGGGCAGCCCCAGGCAGGGTCAGGGCCGAGGTCCCTGTGCTCGGTGGTGGTGGTGGTGATGGTGGTGGTGGTGGCGGCGGCGCTCGTCCTCCCAGACCGGAGATAAGGAACAAGGAAGAAAAGTCACGTTGCAGCCGGTCTGAGCCGGTGGTGAGGTGTGAGCCCTGCAGGAGGGCGGGCGGCGGAGGCTGCGGCTGCCAGGGCTTCCGCAGCTGCTGCTAAAGGACTCCAGTGTGAAGTGAGGTGTGAACCCGCCTGTGCCTGAGCCCCAGGGTCCCTCCAGGGCGGGGGTCCCTCCAGGGCGGGGACCTGGCGTTGGGCTGAGTGGGGTGGGGGGGACTGATGAAGGGGGAAAGAGGCCCCACTTTGCACAGGTGCAAGTACTAGTACATCTGTAAGAGGAATTCTTAGAAGTTAATGACTGGGTCAAAGATGACGTTTCCCTAGTTGTTTCAATAAAGGATCCCAAATTACTCTTCTAAATTGTACCAGCTTGCAGTTTCATCAACAATCCCTGTAATTCAGAGATATAAAGTGTGAGACTTAGCCCGGCCGGCGTGGCTCAGTGGTTGAGCGTGGACCTATGAACCAGGAGGTCAGGGTTTGATTCCTGGTCAGGTCACGTGCTGGCGGTTGTGAGCTCCATCCCCAGTGTGGGACCTGCAGGAGGCAGCTGATCAATGATTCTTTCTCAACATTGATGTTTTTTTCCCCTCTCTCTCTTTTCCTCTCTAAAATCAGTGAAAATATACTATATAATAAAGAGGTAATATGCAAATTAACCCTCATGCCATTGCAAGATGGCTGTGCCCACAGCAGAGGTGGGGTACCTGTAATGAGCAATCAGCAGGGACCTAAGGCTGCGTGGCACCTGGCTGGGAAATATTAAAATATTTCCTCTAATTAATTCCCTTTTAATGTGCATACATTTCATGCAAATTAACCCTCATGCCATTGCAAGATCATAATTGTCTAATCATAATTGTCTAGTCATCTAATCATAATTGTCTAACCATCTCCAAATATCAACATCTTGGGAGTCAGAGATTCAACATACGAATTTTGGGAGGACACATAACACTATAAGTTTCTAAATATAAGTGTATTTTTATTGTTGTAATCCTCACTTTTTCTGTTGATTTTAAAAAAATATATATTTTATTGAATTTTTTACAGAGAGGAAGGGAGAGGGATAGAGAGCTAGAAACATCGATGAGAGAGAAACATCGACCAGCTGCATCCTGTACACTCCCTACTGAGGATGTGCCCGCAACCAATGTACATGCCCTTGACCGGAATCGAACCCGGGACTCTTCAGTCTGCAGGCCGATGCTCTATCCACTGAGCCAAAGCGGTTTCGGCTTTCTGTTGATTTTTAAAGAGAGTGGAAGGGAGGGGAAGAGTCAGAGAGAGAGAGGGAAACATCGATATGAGAGAGACACATTGATTGGTTGCCTCCCAATCCAGCTCTGGGCAGGGCTGAGGATAGAGTCTGCAGCCCATGTACATGCCCTTGAACAGAATCTAACCCTCAATCCTTAGTGGATAGAGTGTTGACCCACTCTATGTATATAAACTGGCTAGGACTATATATGTATTTTTGTAGATTACATAAATAAATGTTTTTATATGCAGTGAATGTACAATTTTATGCTAAGTAAATTTTACCTTAAAGAATGGAAAAGCCAAAACTGGTTTGGCTCAGTGGATAGAGCATCAGCCTGCGGATTGAAAGGTCTCAGGTTCGATTCCGGTCAAGGGCTTGTACCTTGGTTGCCGGCACAACCCCAGTAGGGGGTGTGCAAGAGGCAGCTGATGGATGATTCTTTCTCATCAATGTTTCTAACTCTCTATCCCTCTCTCTCTCTTCTCTGTAAAAAATCAATAAAACATATTTACAAAAAAAGAATAGAAAAAATTGTGAACTCTATGATATGCATGCTGAAGTGTGAAAGGGTGAAATGTTCTGATGACTGCAAGTTACTTTGAAATGCACAAAAAATAAGAGGGATAGACGTGTAGATGGATAGATATAGATAAAACAAATACAACAAAACGTTAGCATCATCAGATCTTCATGGTAGTTATATAGGGGTTCACTTTTAACTTTTAGGTATATTTGAATGTTTTCATATTATGTTGAAAAAAATTTTTAAATTACCAGAATTTTTAAAAGTTAAAAAAAGTAGAGAGAATCATATGTGCCCTACCTCCAGCTTCAAGAATATCAATCTGTTGTACTTATATTCCCACCCTTTCTTTCAACCCTGCCTCCCTAGACATCGCATTGTTTATTTTAAAGTAAACCCTAGACATCAGATTGTTTATTCTATAGATATTTTAGATTGTATCTTTAAAAGGTAAGAAATATTCTTTCAACAAATCTTGGTTGAGCATATATCACTCTTAACCTGTTAACCGGGGAGTTCCCTTTTTAATTATGCAACGTACAACGGGCGCCTACTCTTTCACTAGGACGTGTCAGTACGTCACGCCCAGCGGACGTAATTTTATATTATTATTTTTTTATTTATACTTAATTAAAATAAATGAAATATATATTTTTTCATTTATTTATATATAAAGCACAAAGGAAAATACAAAATTACAAACAAATAGAAAAGAATACCAACAAAAAAATGGAAACATCGAATTAAAAAATTATAAATTTTACAAACAATTATAAAGATTACAAAAAATATATACCATCCCTCTCAGGGCGCAACATATATTTCAAGGACGTATTCATAAGTCCTACCCGTTCCCGATAGTGTTTATGTTTGACGTATTTATAGGTCCCGCTCGGTTAACAGGTTAAGGGATACAATAGTGAACTAGATAGACAAGTTCTCTGGTCCATGGTGCTGATAGTTTATGAGGAAGACAAACAATAAACTAATAAATACTTATAAATGATGATAAGTATATAAACAGTTTTAGATGTCTTAACTAAAGACGGCTGGCTGGGAGCTGGGAGGTTAGGGGGGAGGGACAGCGGGAGGTTGGAATGGGAGCGCCCTGACCACCAGGGGGCAACTCCTGCATTAAACGTCTGCCCCCTGGTGGTCAGTGCACATTATAGCTACTGGCCAGTCATCCGCTTAGACTTTTATATATATACTAGAGGCCCGTTGCACGAAGATTCATGCAATAGGCCTTCTTTCCCCTGACTGCCTGCACCAGTTTTCCTCTGGCACCGGGGGCCCAGGCCTTTGCTCTGGCTGCAGTAGAGAAGCCAAGTCTTTTTTTTTTTAAATTTTTTTAATTAATTAATTTATTTTTTTAATAAATATATTTTATTGATTTTGTACAGAGAGGAAGGGAGAGAAATAGAAAGCTAGAAACATAGATGAGAGAGAGTCATCAATCAGCTGCCTCTTGCACACCCCCTACTGGGGATATGCCCGCAACCAAGGCACATGCCCTTGACCGGAATCGAACCCGGGACCCTTCAGTCCCCAAGCCGACGCTCTATCCATTGAGCCAAACCAGTCCCGGCGAGAAGCCAAGTCTTGAGGCTTCTCTGCTCCGGCTGCAGTGAAGAAACCAAGCCTCTTCAGTCTTCACTCTCAGTCTTCAGTCTTTGCTCAGCACCTGTGTATGCAAATCAACCTGCCATCTTTGTTGGGTTAATTTGCACACGCACTCCTGATTGGCTGGTGGGTGTCACAGAGGTACGGCCAATTTGCATCTTTCTCTTTTATTAGTGTAGCTATATAAAACAATTCCATTTTTTCTCCACTAACCATCCCCACTGTCTCTAGTAAACTATCTTGCTCCCTGGACAGCCAATTCCCTTAGAAATACCCGACCCTGGTCCCATAACTGGGCAGTCACTTTCAGTAGCGACTACAGTCTTATTCCAAGTGTGATGACTTAGGCTTGCCCCTCTGCCCAGTTTACATCTTTCATTTCATATTCATAGCTCTTCCCATTCTGGCGCAGGTGGGCTCGTGGCTACAACAGCGTTCAGTGGAGCGGGTGGCAATGCCATTCCCTTCTGCTCTGCTTGGCTCTTGCTCCTCCCACGTAGGGATGAGGAGGAGGGGGAGGAATGAATGTTCTCCGCAAGACTGTCCATGAAGAGCTGTTTGTTCTCTTTCTGCTTCTCGTTGCTTCTGTAGTAACAGTTTTCCCAACGAGTCAGGAGCTTTCTTACTTTGGACACCTCCTTGCTTTCTGGGGCCTCCCCTGTGCACTCTCAACGCAGGAACGGTGAGCCTCAGTCCCTTTCTTCTGGACATCCTCCTCCGTTCCTGCCAGGGGTGATCTTGTCAGGGGATCACTGTCTGGAGGGGCTTCCTGGGGAGTGCCAGGAGAAGCTTCAAGGTTCAGCCGCTTTCTGTGTTCTCCAGGTGTTGGACTCACGGAGAGTTCTGTGCACAATTCAGAAAGGAATTGCGACTTCTTTGTGGGGGCCCGGCACTCTAACCACTGCGCTCACCACCCAGGGCTGGATGTTTTTAGATTCCACATATAAGTGAGATTATGCTGTATTTGTCTTTCTCTGTCTGAATGATTTCACTTAGCATAATGCCCCCACAAGGTCTGTCCATGTTGTTGCAAGTGGTAGGATTTCCTTTTTTTTAAAAATTTTTATGGCTGGATAATATTTGAGTGTGCATTTTTCATGTCTTCTTCATACATCCACCCCATGTAAACTGAGAGCCTAACACAACTATGTATTCATCCACTGAATACCGGATTTATTGAGTGCCTG